CTGTACCTTTGGCAGTGAAAGCATGAAGTCCTAACCACTGGACTGCCAGGGAACTCCCAACTTCTCTATTTTCTGAGTCTTAAGTTCTTGCTTCAGTTACTCATCCTCCCCTTCAGTTCCACTCGGATTGACCTTTGTATTGCTCCTGCCTACTCATTCCGCCTCCAATGAGGTTCTGACCTGACGTTTTCTACCTTATAATACCAATATCCTGAAGTTTCAGAGATATCCTAGCATCCTCTAAGATAGAATGATCTGTCCTAAGCTCATTGTTACCAAGCTTGGCTTCAGTGTTAGAAAGTTGAGTGCTTCACATTAGTGTTCATAATCTTGGTTCTACAATGACACCTAACATGTCTTCTTCCCTCTGGAAGTGGGTTAGTACCCTTAGAACACGGCTTTCCTAAATGGATGAACTGGTCTAGGTAATGACTATTTCCAATCAAATTGTGCTATTCTCTTTTAATATAACTTGTGTTAACCTCTATCTTTCTAATAGGGGTTATCTTTCTGAAGACATACAAGTCTACCCAAGTCCCGAACTACAAGTTTTCATGTATTTGTTATTTTTCCTTTGGCTTCAAAATAAAAAGAAAAAGACTTTTTTTTTTCTTCAAAAAACAAATAGCTTTTTTCTTATTGGATTTGAAGAATCCATGAAGAGTCATGCATACCACCACACATGTTCTTTTATGTACACACTCAATTTTTCCAATCCTTCTCAATCTAATGCAATGTCCAGATCCTCTATTCACTTGAATATTCTCTCATAGATTAATCTGGCACCACTTAAAGGAGTGATTTTAGTGACTGAGTTGAGTCAGGTGTAGAAAAATTGTTTAAGAAGAGACAGAGCTGAAGGTAATCTCACTAAGGTGAGATAAGATATGGATGGCAATACCTACAGGACTTAGCCTGCCCTTGTGTCTACCATTTTGAAATCTAGCATAGGAGACATTTGGCACTTTCTCCAGCCTTATTCCATGGCCAGACTCTCTCTTCTTATAAAGTCTGTCACTTATTAATTCATTCTTCCTCTCATGGTTCCACTTGTGTCATGGGGTCATATAGGTAATATTATAGCTGGTCCTGGTGTTGTCCCCCCCCCCCCATCTCCCTGCCCTCCTCTTACCTTCCCTAAATCAGGTTGCTTGGCCATCAAATTAGGTGGTCCCATTTCCCTTCACAGGACATCTCTCCTTTCTTCTGGTTGCAGGCCCTTAGCCCTCTCTTGACATGGCACCCTAGAGTAGGATGTTCAAAACATTCCCCATTGGGGCTGTTCCCTGAGGACTCAGTAATAAGAAGAGACCTTGTTAGACCTTTGTTTGAAGAGGGAGCAGAGTACTAATTGGTATCTGGAAGGTGGGAGTTTCACTTTGGATCCCTATAGGCAGTGCCTGAAAAGGTACCCATTAAATACCCTGTTCTTGGGACCTGACTGGTAGCTTAACTTCTGTCATCCCTCTGTAGGTCAGTGCAGCTCTTTGGTGAGTAATGTTTAAGGGTAGGCCCAAAGAAGAGAGATTCATATAGGCTACATCTACAACTTAATTTTGTCCCCAACCTTCCCAGATCTGGATAATCTGATAGGCTGTCTGGGGGTAAAAACGCATTGTATTGATATCAGTAGGGAAAGGGAAATATCACCAATACTGATGATTGGCATCATCAGAGATCTATCTAGACCTTTTGTGTTGTATATGGGCTTCTCTGGTGGCTTACGTGGTAAAGAATCTGCCAGCAATGTGAGAGACCCAGGTTTGATCTCTGGGTTAGGAAGATCCCTTGGAGAAGGGAATGGCTACCCACTCCAGTATTCTTTCCTGGAAAATCTCATGGACAGAGGAGCCTGGCAGGTTATAGTCCATGGGGTCGCAAAGAGTTGGGCACGACTGAGTGACTAACACTTTCACATTGTGTCATATACAACGGGGGGGGAATTGGGTGTGTGAGAATTACTTCCTCCATAGCAGGCAAACATCCTGTTGGTTCTGGCTCAACAGTAAGTTATTTATAAGTCAGCTTCTCCTTGAAGCCTGCAGGGTGAGCCTTAGGGAAATATTTATGGAGGCCCCTAAATCTGCCTCCAGGAATCCTCTAGCCCCAGGATTCTTAATCTCATTTTACTACTTCCCTGATGGAAATAAAGGAGTTGAGTTTACTGGGTTAGACTTTCCCTTGAGGCATGAGGTTTATAATGAGGGACATTTGCTGGGTCCTGAGGGGATTGTTGGGCCATTAGATGTAATTATTTCCTACACAGTCCTGAAGACACTGTTTCATTCCACAAAGTGGGCTGAGGCTTAAGGTTGGGCAGCATTTTGGATAATCTGAAGCAGGTGCTCAGCTGATCAAAGCCACATTTCTTGACACCTTCCAACACCCCTTCCCTCACAGCACCACATTCTGTGGATGCTTGAGGGAAACAATGTGTGTTGGGAGGGAGAAAAGGAGCATTATCTGGGAGGATATAGTGTTTTTGACTAGGTGGTTCTGGGGTTACTACTAAACAACATCCACCCATGGGATGAATCGACCCTTTTTTTTTTTTTGGAACCTATCATTTTTTGTCAAATCACTAAAGTTTCTGTTGCTCTTAATCAGATAACTCCTAATGCATCAATTACTTCTTATAATTCACTGACAATAAAATTACTATTTTTAGCATTTGATAAGGAATTTTCACATATTGTATGTCACTGGATTCTCATAATGATCCTGTGAGGTAGGTTTTAGTATATTCCTTTCACATGTGAGGACACTAAGGCTTGAAAATGGTTAAATGCTTTGCTTAAAGTCACACAGAAAACAAATGGCAGAAAAAGTACCTAGAACCAGGATCTTGACTTCCGGTCCAGAGTTTATTTCAAGACACCAGAACTACAGGCCCACTTAAATCTCCTTATCTTCCAAGCCCTTATGCCTTCTGCTGTTATCACATAGTCTCCTTAGCAGCTATGCTTTAAGGTATGGGCAACAGTCATGTAATTTCTCTTGGAGAGAAAAGCAAAATGTTCTTGGTCATTTTAAATCTGCACTGTTCCTTCTTTTTTAATTTTTTTTTCAAATTGAAGTATAACTGCTTTACAATGTAGTGTTAATATCTGCTGTACAATGAAGTGGATCTGTTATATGTATACAATGTAATATCACTCAGGCGTAAAAAGGAATGAAATTGGGTCAATTGTAGAGATGTGAATAGAACTAGAGTCTGTTACACAGAGTTGAGTAAGTCAGAAAGAGAAAAACAAATATTGTATGTTAATGCGTTTACGTTCCTTCTTTTCTGAGCTATGCTCTTGGGCTAACTTCTGCTCCTTTCCCTCATGTTTAGAGACTCCTTCTTGCTGCCATTGAAAGTATGAGATGAAACCAGCTGTAATGTCTGTGCCTGGAATGTGAATCACTCTTATGCTCCAAAACCCCCTCAGGCCCTGGGCCCAGGTCTCGGCATGTCCTTGTGTTTTTCTTTGACATGAGAGGATTGTGGTACTGGAGATGTTGGGGGATGCTGGAGAGACACATAATCCCTAAGTCGTTCTTCATCTGCCATGCTATTTGGTTCCTGTACTATACCCACTCCTGTCCACAGTGTCCTGGGTGTTCTTCCTCTGCTCCACAGCAGTCACTGTTCACTCGAAGACAAGATGATAACCTCCTAGCTTGTGAATCAGTGGATATGAGATCTTGTCTGATTCTGCCACTAATAACTCTGGGACTCTGGGTTTTTTGCTTATTACTAGACCTTAGTTTTCTTACCTACAAAATGATGGTTTGAGCATAGTACATGCTGGGGATATGTGTAATTCTGTACACTATATGTGATTCCATGAAAAACTGAACTGGAAGGTATATCTGATCATTTTATTTCCTGTTCTCAGCAGTATAGCTGTGATATAGAGTTTTTGACTTTCATATGATTATTATTAAAAAAGTTTCTGTTTATTCCAGATCACCACAACTCTGAACTTTGTGTCTACCCATGTACAATACCACCTTGAAGGAGAGGGAGATACAGAGGTGATAAAATCAGATCTCTATTATGATTTTGGGGAAAGAAGCAAGATATGCATTTGTGAAATGATTGGGGAATAATCCAAGGAAGAACCTAAGCAGTGTTGGAGTCATCAGGGACCATTTGTTCTGTAACCCGGAAGTCAGTGGAGTTTGGAGAAGCAGAATGTCTCCAAATCAAGGAATTTTCCACATGTTAGGATTTGGGGCAGTTTCAGATGAAGGTTGGTTGTATAAGACTTACATGAGGTCTATGCTGATTAGATCAATCACCAGCATTCAGAATTTGGGAATAAGAGAATGATGGGAAGGAGTTTCACTTACAACAGTTCCTGGGCATCTACTTGAATCTGTGATTTGCTTAAATTATGTGAATTGCTGCAGGTCACAGATACAGTAGGAAGTGTAATTCTGGAAACTGGTTTCTGCTTTTTTTTGTTCAATGCATTTCCCACTGGACCAAGCTGACTTGCCTCTTCTGTGTTTAAAGATCTTGCAGAAATATTGACTAAATTGAAAATTACTTTTGACTATTTTCTTAGAATAATGGGGGAAGACTGATGGTGATGGTGGAGTTAGTGAGACCACATATCCTGAGCTTCTAATCTCCTCATTGAATTTAACCTGCTTGCTTTTCTTTGCAGGGGCACTTCACACTTCTAAGTGAGATGACCACCATGACTTTTTTCAATAATTCTCATCTCTTCCCACACACTTTCTTCTTGGCTGGCATCCCAGGACTGACTGCTGTCCACATTTGGATCTCACTTCCCTTTTGCTTCATGTTCTTCCTGGCAGTGACTGGGAATGGTGTCCTGCTTTTTCTCATCCAGACAGAACACAGTCTTCACCAGCCCATGTTTTTATTTCTTGCCATGCTCTCCTTTGTTGACCTGGTTCTCTCTCTCTCCACTCTGCCCAAGATGCTGGCCATTTTCTGGTTTGGTGCTACAGCCATCAGCTCCTATTCCTGTCTTTTCCAGATGTTCTTCATCCATGCATTCTCTGCCATGGAATCAGGAGTGCTGGTGGCCATGGCCCTGGACCGCTTTGTGGCCATCTGTAACCCACTACGTTATGCAACCATTCTCACCCCGGTAGTTGTTGTCCAGATTGGAGGCCTGGTGGTGCTTCGAGGTGTGGGTTTGACCATCTCCTTTCCAAGCCTGGCCTATCGGCTGCCCTACTGTGGCTCCCACACAATTGCCTACACCTACTGTGAGCATATGGCGGTGGTGAAACTGGCCTGTGGGGCCACCACCGTGGATAACCTCTATGCCTTTGCTGTGGCGATCTTTCTTGGTGCTGGGGATGTGGCCTTTATTGCCTACTCTTATGGGCAGATTGTTAGGACCATGATTCATTTGCCTTCATCTGAGGCATGTGCTAAAGCAGGCAGCACATGTACAGCTCACGTCTGTGTCATTCTCTTTTTCTATGGACCAGGCTTTCTTTCTGTAATCATGCAGCGCTTTGGCCAACCCACAGCCTCTGCTGCCAAAGTCATCCTTGCCAATCTCTACTTGCTGTTTCCCCCTGCACTGGACCCCATTGTCTATGGAGTCAAGACCAAGCAGATCCGGGAGTGCCTGTGTAAAATTCTAAGTCTCAACCAGATTGATCCCACCTGAGTGTAGTTCTCATTAGTTGGACCTTGGGGGCCAAAGTGACCCTCCTCTGTGGGATGGGAGCCCCATAAGACCATGCAACTTACCTGGTGGGGACAAAGAAGAGAAAGCAAATGAAGTTATCCTGAGTGTTTAGAAGTTGGGAGATCTCTTCTGAGACCTATGGCGTTTAGATATTTGGATGAAAATTGAGAAGGGCTGGTGGTGTATCAGTTGATCAATCAGCAAGTAATTTTTTGGATACCTTTCCCCTTAAAAGTTTGTTGTTTACTTGTCTTGACCAAATAAATGCATCAGGTAATTAAAAAATAACTAGACTTTAGTAGATCTGGATCAAGTGACTCAGCAGTTCATATGAGAACATGGACCACCTCCCACCACCATGATGCTGACACGTAGCCTGTCTGTGGAAGCAGTAAGTCTCCCTCTATCAGAAAAACCTTGGCATCACAGAAGCTGGGGTGGCAAATTCTGGAGCGACTTTAAGTCTTAAGATGATGAGAGAAACTCTGTAAAATATTCATGTTCCATCTGACTCCAAAATTGCCAATAATGTTTGAAATCTTTATTCTTTGTATTTTTCTAGCCTGTTTTTGAGATGGATGACCCTCCGTGGCTCTTATAGTATTATGTATTTTTAACTTCTCAGGTTAATGATAATTTTTTTATTTCCTCATTTTTAGTCTCTGGTACAAAGACCTGAGTTAAAATTTATTGCGCACAATAATTATTGTTCTAATTCTTGCTTGGTTTGATTATTTTTCTATCTTCATTTCTAACACTCTTGCTCATTGTCTTCCAGTTTCTACCATTGGTACTCACTGTAATGTTTATTGTTTGCTCTTAGGTATTTACACACTCTTGCAATATATGTAGTGTTGGCTGAGTATTATGTATTTGTAATAACATGTTTCCTTCTTTAGTTCTTCAAGAGTCCAACTTCCTCCATTTATGTATTGTCTGGGCTCTTCCTAATGGAAATGCATCACCCTGTCCTTTTCCTTGCCATTTCTACTCATCTTGAATTTCAATTCAAACCTCACCTTCTTGAGGAAGACTTTTCTGAACTAGATAAGGTCACCTGTTTTTTGAACCCAGAGCTTTGTGTGTATTTCTTTCATTATCCATCACAGTTTCTTTCTATATATACAGATTGAATGAATGATCTCTGTCCCCCATCTCTAGTAAACTGTGAGTTAGATGTGTTGTATCCTTATCATAGTACCTGACACATAATAGGCTCTCAATAAATGTTTGTTCAATAAATACATCTCATTCTTTTCATGGACTGTGTCATCACTAGCATATTTCCTCATCAATCACATTGTGTTTTTCCATAAATGAACACATAAATTTTCATAAGTGTAACAGTAGGTACTCAATACATTTTTATTGGAGAAATTAAATAAATTGTCACAAAAATGTCATCGCCATTGCAACTACTATTTATAGTACTGTCTTCACTACCATTGTCATGACTAAGGCCACGTTAACTTAGTCTTTTCAGGTGTTACAAGTTCAACTGGTGGTATTTTGGATACTATGCAAACATATTAGAGGACATGTTTATAACACAGACTCTCTGCTGTGCAGAAGCAAGGAACAAAGAGAAAACTAGCATTTGTCTTTCTTTTTTTCTTTATTTGCTCTCCTTTTCTTCATTATTTTCTTCCTCACCCTGAGTATCTACCAGGCTGTCAGTGTGATGATGAAATGAACTTGAAAATATAGAAATCATGATAAAATGTGATAGTGCTATTGTAAAGATTGGTTCTAAGTTATAGAGCATTAATTCTCAATGGGAGGCCATGGGCAGAGATGGGACATGGGTTAGACTGGGTTTAAATTGATGCTATAAATGACCACAGTTTAGAGACTATGAGTCTGAAATTGTTGGGTGGATAAGTGGACCAGGATTAAATTTATGGTCCCTACGGGGAGTCTGCCTCAATCCTTCTCTGAAGTGGCTTCTGTTCTATGCCACACTGTATGATCCCATATTTTTCTCTGTTAAATATTAATCTTCAATATTATTAGTAAGAAGAAAGCTTTTCAAAGAAAGGGCAAAAAGAGGAGGACCACCTTTCTCTTATCCCTGCTCCACTGATGGGAGTGGAAGAAAGATCGGCAGAAGAGAGGGAGCAGCCAAAGCTGCTCCATAAAAGCTCCATCAGAGACCAAAGCTCTCTATTGATGGTAATTATCACTCAACCCTCCATCCACCTAAGGTATCTCCCTCTACAGCCCTGTGGCTGCTCCCTCTTTGTATTGCCGTTAGTGTAAAATCTTGATAATATGAGCAGCTCTTGTTGTTTTCCTCTTATTCTGTGGTACCCTGAAGCTTAGAGAATAGAACTGTATTATACATAAACTCTGTCATTTAATGTCTACTAAATGTGTATGAAGCTGGTACTCTCATAGTTCTCATATTTTTCTAATTAAAATCTTACACTTCCTACTGAGTGGGGAACATCCATTTTCTCACACCTCTTTTACCTCTGATTTGGAAGTAAGTTTACTGTTCTTGTTCCCAAATGCAGTGTTCAGTTCATTCTTTCTTTTTTTTCTTTTTTCTTTTTTAAAAAAACGACTACCAAACAAACAAGCACAGACTGGTAATTTTGACGTTCGTGTCATTCACGCATATCATCCTTTACCTCTTCCCATTACTAATATCTCTTCTTTCATCAAATGATGACTTAATCAATATCTTCTTTATTATTTAGCTACCCATAGTCCTGGAGGGAGACTTCAGGGTGAATGACCCATTGAACACTCTAGGTTTTCTTCTTCATTTTTTTATTCCCAAAGATCCTATCTCATTTACCGATTCCCATGGAGAATACTTAGACTTGAACCTCATTAAAGATTGCTATGCTTGTTTCCAACAGATGTCCCATCATCTATGCTTCATTCCTTCCTATCTATACTCCTAGTATGATACTTAATAATGAGATTCTGATTGTGTTTCAACCTTCTGCTTAAAATCTTCATAACTTTCTGCTGCCCTTTAAAATGACCTAATATGTGCATGTTGCAGTCTTACTTACAGGCCAGGCTAAGTTCCTAAGAACTACATTCCCCAGTGTCATGATTTCTTCAGGTCTTTGACAATACCAAGCTCCCTTCTCTCCTGCCTTAGGGATTTTGTATCCTCAGCTTACCCTCACCCCTCTCATCACTTTTAACCCATTCTTTTGGTAGTGAACTTGAATTTAGGACGGCTTCCCTGAACTCTCCAGGCTGAGAATGTTCTCATAAAACACTTTAGGTTTGACTTATAATACTTATAACTTCTACTAGTTATTCCTATGATCATGTATCTAAAAGTATCATTCCATGATCTGTGATCGCAAGGACCATTTTGTCACATCAGCTGTTGGTGGCTGTTTTTTTTGTCCAACATCTATTAGAGTACTTAGATTTGGTAGATATTTAATATCTATTGAATAAATGAATAACTGAGGCTTCCTGCTAGCTATAAGTGAAATGTTTGTAGACTTGAAGAATGAAAAGACTGCACTTGAAACTTTATTCCAAAGGAGAACATGGTCCCTGGGGTGGACTGGTAGCTGCTTTATCTGAGATGGGACCAAGGGAAGAGTTTACCTGGTGATGGAAAGATATGATAAAGAAGATCTTACCCTACCTCTTTGGAAACTTCCTGGGATGAGTTGTCTGAGATGTGTATTTATCCTATACTTGCTATAGCATTGAAGTTGATGTTTGTATGCTTGCCACAATTCCCCAAAGAGAAGCAGAGTGCTCAATTCACCTGAGACAGGTGGCATTTATTTTAGGTTAGGTCCTCTAGAATAAACCTAGTGCAGAGATTTGTGTGTAGGTGGCGTATTTTGAAGTATACTTGGAAATAACACCTGTCAAGAGTGAAGGAAGCAGGATAAAGCAGAGAAAGAAGTTAAACTGTGATCCAGTTATCCCAGATGCTAATGTTGGTTCCATAGGGATGCTCTTGAGCTGGGATGGTACTTCAGTGTTGTTTCATATAGGGGAAAATATGTCAGGATGTTGTATTTGTACATAGACCAGTCACTGAGCAAGATCTACACTCAGGAAAGAGAAGCAATTTTGTGTGAATCAGCTCTTTGTCCAAAGGAATGGCTCAATTATGATAACTTTTAGCACGTAACATTCACAATAGATGGAGGATAGAACATACTGAAGTACAAAATCCACTAAAGTATTTATTGAGTCTGAGTTTGACCTGTAAATATGAGAAGTCTGAGCTTACACAGCAATGTGGGGTTTCTTAGCTTCTTGAACATGAGATTTCTTATCATAGTAATCATGATGTACAGGCTTAGGAGTGATGCCCAACACTGGACCAACATTAGCCATCTGGTCAGGGGTAGGTACCACTCCTTGCTTACATAATCAGCTGTCCTTGGGACAGCAGATTTAGCTCCATGTGCCTCTAACCAATTGGGAGGTTACTTTTGGCTCTATTCAGATGGGTTTGGGTGGCCTCTGGGACCTGCCCATTGGTAATAACATTTTCCCTTCTCAGTACCTTGTTCACGGTCACCAGGACTGCTTTGGAGAAGTATCATAAAAGGCTTTGCCTTTGAGGGTAAGATTATAGAACCAGCTATGAGTTTGTGTATACTTTATAGTATAACCGATATACATAATTTAATTAATATTTATAAACACTTGTAACACTTAATATTTTCTTTACCATCAGATGAGGCATTATAGACAGAGAGTTTAAGTATCATACCAAGATTTCATTTATAAAATGTGAAAGGTGCAGAATTAGAATTTTAATCTGTCTTCCTGCACAGTTTGTGTTAGCCTGTTACATCATGAAGTCTCTGCCAGCTAGCTGATAATTATAAATTTCAATGAGACATGGTCCTTGACTTGATATAAATCATTAAGACACTGAAAGAATCTCTATGATATAGATAAAACAGAAAATTGTGGATGAAAAAAGAAGGATAATAAAATAAAATGCTCATAACTCAATCAGTGGTTCAAACATAATCAGTGAATCCTTTTTAAGAGGCAGAAGACAGTGGACTCTGAAGTTTGAAGAAACAACAATTCAGATAAAGAGGAAGAGAAAGAATACATAAAAAGGCCCATGTAAAATAAGATGGTATGCTCATATAATTCCAAAAACACAAAAATGGTTGAAGTAAGCTATACATGTGGAAATATTTTAAGTACAAGTCAAAGTGATACAAAAAGATAGACTTCGAAAACCTTGTATACCAGTCATAAATGTAGGTTTTATTTCACAGATTAAATGAACTAAAAAATTTAACTATAGGAGTGACATGACATCTGAATTTTAGATGCATTTGAGAACACTTTGGCTTGAGAATAGAGAGTGGATTGAAAGGATAAGTGATAAACGCAGAGAGATTTAAGGAAACAATACAGTTTGGAGGAGTAGGGAGTATGACCTAAACATTGACACTGGGGGTTGAGAAAAAGAAGTGGGTATAACAAGGGTTAAAAATCCAGTCAACAGACACTGTGAATATGTAAAAAGGATGACAGACTGATTTGTGCATGCTCAGTTGCTCTCACTGAGTACTGTCAGAATCTTTCTGTAGCCCACCAGGCTCTTCTGTCCATGGGAATTTTCAGGCAAGAGAGACATAATAAGCAAGGGTAATTTCAAGTTCATATATTGGGTTGGATAGGTTGACAGTGAAGTAATTCACAAAAATGTGGCAAAAGTGAAGTAGAGCCGATTTAGGAAGAATAGGTAAGTTAATTCAGTCTTGAATATGTTGAGCATGTGGTATAGATATTTAGGAAGCAAATGGAAAAGTGGATTTGTGTTTCAGAAAGATATTTGACTTAAAAAAGCTGGTTGGAAGTGTATAAATTAAAGTATATAAATACTTAAACTCATGTGAGCTCAATCAGGGATAAAGTACAGAATATGGAAGAGAGGAAGTAGTGAACCCTTGGAATCAATAACATATAACTACTAGGTAGATGGAGAAAGCCGTGGACTGGGGATACAAGAAAAACACTGGTAGAGTACTAAGTCATGGAATCTGAGGAATACTAATTTAAAAAGTAGCAGACTGATTTATAGTGTTGATCAATGCCAAGGGGCAAAAAAAGAATTATTCTGTGTAGACACTTGCAAACTAGAAGTAATTGAATGTTGCAGTTTCAACATATCTCTAAAAGCAGTCTATGCTTACCCTTATCCCTAAAAGAAACTAGTCTCTCCTAATTAAGATATGTGGACATCTTGCCTTCGTCCTAGTATCTGATTTTATTCCCTTGTGTTACAGTTTAAACTTCTTTCTTCATCTCATGAAGATGGTAGCCAGATCTGGACAACGTGATAATCCATAAAGAATGAAGAAATCATGATTTTGGTTTTTTTGCCTCTTCCCTTTCCAAGCCATTTAGATGACAACCCTGCGGAATTCCAGCTGGAGGCTGATCCAGCCATCCTTCTTCCTGATCGGCATCCCAGGTTTAGAGGAAAGCCAGCACTGGATAGCACTCCCGCTGTGTGTCCTTTACCTCCTTGCCCTCTTGGGCAACGTCACCATCCTCCTCACCATCTGGACTGACCCATCCTTGCACCAGCCTATGTACCTCTTTCTGGCCATGCTCTCTGGCATTGACCTGGTCCTGGCTTCCTCCACCGCACCCAAAACCCTTGCAGTGCTCCTGGTTCACGCCCATGAGATTGGGCACACCGTCTGTCTGATCCAGATGTTCTTCATCCATGCGTTCTCTTCCATGGAGTCGGGTGTACTTGTGGCCATGGCTCTGGATCGCTATGTAGCCATCTGCCACCCTCTGCACCATTCTACCATCCTGCATCCCGGGGTCATAGGGCGCATCGGGGTGGCGGTGCTGGTGCGGGGGATACTCCTCCTCCTCCCCTTCCCCATCTTGTTGAGGAGACTTGTCTTCTGCCAGGCCACCGTCATAGGCCATGCCTACTGTGAACACATGGCCGTGGTAAAACTCGCCTGCTCAGAAAGCACGGTGAACCGAGCCTATGGGCTGGCGGTGGCACTGCTTGTGGTTGGCCTAGATGTCCTGGCCATTGGTGTTTCCTATGCCCTCATCCTGCAGGCAGTGCTGAAGGTACCAGGGGGTGAAGCCCGACTTAAGGCCTTTAGCACATGTGGATCTCATATTTGTGTCATCCTGGTCTTCTATGTGCCTGGAATGTTTTCTTTCCTCACTCACCGCTTTGGCCAGCAGGTGCCCCATCATGTTCATGTTCTTCTGGCCACACTCTACCTCCTGGTGCCACCTGCACTCAATCCTCTGGTCTATGGGGTGAAGACTCAGCAGATTCGCCAGCGAGTACTCAGGGTGTTTGACATAAAAGGACAGATCTGAACACATCCCAATCATTTTCTTCAGAGGCCCCTGTCATATACTGCCAGGAGCCCATGTTTGGTCTTTGCCATATGGATAGAGTCCCTTGTTATTGTGAGAAATCTTTCTGGTCATAATAGTCTCATGGCAAAGAATATCATGAACAACCTGGCTCCACAGCTGATTGGGATGTACCTAGAGAGCCTAATTGTGAATATTTCCTCCACCCTTTACTTCAGAATCCAAACATCTCTATTCCTGGTGATGGTGGGGTCTGGGGTTAGGAGAAAAGGATGATGGCTCTGGATATGCCATTTTTTTCTATCTAATGACTGACTGTGCAATATCTCCTAGAGCGTGTATGGGAAGTCCCAACGTTTGCCTGGTTTTAGTTTTGAGTGTCATCAAAACTTGTAAGTGCTGTGAGCTTCAGGTCACTAGGCTCCTGTGTAGTAAGAACCTTTCTCAAATCATTTGAGACAGTCACAATGTGAGAAAATACCTTTTACTGAAATATAGGTGTTATTAACAAACTTATGTGGAGCAGATACTGTAATAGGGAATAATGTGATATCCTTGAATTTAGCAAAGAAACACATGTGAATGGTGGTTTTCTTTTTTAAAAGATCTGTTGTATTTAAACTTTATTGCATCTTAATTTACCTGTATTTTTCTTTGGATAAAGAAGGAATAAGATGAAGTATTCAATTTATGTATTTTATAAGTATCAGTTTAACCAAGCAAAAGTAACCATGTAATTATTTGTATCTCAAAACTATAACATATGCTAGAATATGATGTTGATAAGCATAGGTTTGTTAGTAAATTTAGAAGCAGTTATGCCACTTAAACTGAGTTACTTTTTCTGAAATGTGGATATGGAGTGATTTCAATGAGGCCTCCCTCCCTCTCTGCTAACAGGAACTGGGTAAAAATTTACAAGAGAATTGTTCTAGTTGATTTGTTGCCTGTTTGTAGGATGTTGCCTTAATATTGATCTTAACTATTTTGAGTCCCTAGAAAAGTTACAATGTTTTTTAGTCCTGGAAGAAATCAAGTCACTGGTACCTAGAAGTAAGATGCTCAAGTGATCAATCAGAGTATCCTATCTTGAGATTCCATGATGGTAGAAGTGGTAGAGTAGATGGTTAGTGTTTCTAATTTCTCCTTTCTTTGTAAATTTTACTCCTAATAAGTAGTTTTCTATTATAGAGCTGAGTATGAAGTCTTTAATTTGGTTAGTACATATGGGTGAGTAAGGGAGGATTTGTCTGAGTTCTTATTGCAGGAGGGAGTATATATTCTCATCACTGTTCTAGGTATGGGACTTAAACTATGGTAAGTTGTCCTGGGCTTTTTTCGGGCTCCAAAATCACTACAGATGGTGACTGCAGCCATGAAATAAAAAGATGCTTGCTCCTTGGAAGAAAAGTTATGACCAACCTAGACAGCATATTAAAAATCATAGACATTATTTTGCCAACAAAGGTCCATCTAGTCAAGGCTATGGTTTTTCCAGTAGTCATGTGTGGATGTGAGAGTTGGACTATAAAGAAAGCTGAGCACTGAAGAATTGATGCTTTTGTGTTTTTTTTTAAATTTATTTTTTATTAGTTGGAGGCTAATTACTTTACAATATTGTAGGAATTGATGCTTTTGAACTGTGGTGTTGGAGAAGACTCTTGAGAGTCCCTTGGACTGCAAGGAGATCCAACCTGTCCATCCTAAAGGAGATCAGTCCTGGGTGTTCATTGGAAGGACTGATGTTGAAGCTGAAACTCCAATATTTTGGCCACCTGATGTGAAGAACTGACTCACTGGAAAAGACCCTGATGCTGGGAAAGATTGAAGGCAGGAGGAGAAGGGGATGACAGAGGATGAGATGGTTGGATGGCATCACCGACTCAATGAACATGAGTTTGAGTAAACTCCAGGAGTCGGTGATGGACAGGGAGGCCTGGTATGCTGCAGTCCATGGGGTCACAAAGAGCTGGACATGGCTGAGCGACTGAACTGAAACTGAAACTGCAGTTGTTCTGGGGAAGACCGGCTATGCTGTGTCACACACACTGGGAAACAACTACTTTGCCATTAGAGGTACTTAGTTTGAATGGATTACAAAAGGAGTAATTTGCTTTCTCCTTCCATTTATACTACTTTCCAGTGCTTGGAATGTGGATGTGAAGCAGCTTCCTTGGATCAAAAGATGGAAATGTGTGTTGAAGATGGCAGGGCAACATTGTAGAGAAGTCTGTGTCCTGATTCTTCCTGGGCCACCAAACCTGACTTAAACCTGTGACAGAAATGAACTTGAAACTGGTTTAAGGCACTGTATTTTGGGGGGATCTTTGTTACAACATACTAACCTATAGCTTAAGCAGTATATAGTTTTCATCTCAGATCTTTCTAGTAGCTATGTATTTCTCTGCCTGAGGATGTCTTTTAAAATTTCCTTTTGAAAAATTTGCGGTTCTTGTCTGAAGGTCTATTTATTTTACTCACATCCAAATACAGTATGAGAAAATTATTTAAATTATTTTATTATCTAATTTTCTACTGTGTCTGTAGTATATCCCCTATTTCATTCCCTAGAGGCTGTGAATGTCACAGCCCCTGTGCCCTGATGGTGGGACTCTATAGGTCACTAACCAGGGATTTGCCCACAGGTAGAATTCCCTGTAGGCTGTCAGGAGGAAAATGAAAAGATGTACTGAGTTTCCCCTTCTTTTGCTGATATTTGTTGTTGTTCAGTTGCTCAGTTATGTCCAACCCTTTGTGACCCCATGACGGCAGCACACCAGCCTTCCCTGTCCTTCACCATTTCTCAGAACTTGCACAAACTCATGTCCATCAAGTTGGCGATGCCATTCAACCATCTCATGCTCTGTCATCCCCTTCTCCTCCTGCCTTCATTTTTCCCAGCATCAGGGTCTTTTCCAATGGGTTGGCTCCTCATATCAGGTGGCCAAAGTATTGGAGCTTCAACATCAGCATCAGTCCTTCCAATGAATGTTCAGGACTGATTTCCTTTAGGATAGACTGGTTTGATCTCCTTGCTGTCCAAGGGACTCTCGAGAGTCTTCTCCAGCACCACAGTTCAAAAGCATCAATTCTTCAGCACTCAGTTTTCTTTATGGTCCAGCTCTCACATCCATACATGACTACTAGAAAAATTATAGCTTTGACTATATGAACCTTTGTTGGCAAAGTAATGTCTTAGCTTTTTCATATGCTATCTAGGTTTGTCATACCTTTTCTTCCAAGGAGTTAGCATCTTTTAATTTCATGGCTGAAGTCACCATCTGCAGTGATTTTGGAGCCCAAGAAAATAAAATCTGTCACTGTTTCCATTGTTTCCCCACTTATTTGCATGAAGTAATGGAACTGGATGCCATGAGCTTAGTTTTTCAAATGCTGAGTTTTAAGCCAGCTTTTTCACTCTCCTCTTTCACTCTCATCAAGAGGCTGTTTAGTTCCTCTTCACTTTCTGCCATAAGGGTGGTGTCATTTGCATGTCTGAGGTTATTGATATTTCTCCCGGAAATCTTGGTTCCAGCTTATGTTTCATCCAGCCTAGCATTTCACATGATGTACTCTGCATATAAGTTAAATAAACAGGGTGACAATATATACCCTTGGCATACTCCTTTCCCAATTTTTTAACCAGTCCATTGTTCTATATTCAGTTCGAACTGTTGCTTCTTTCAGCTTTGCTGAAATAGAGAAGCTTTTACGCCTGGAGTCAGAGATACTACAGTGTATTTTGCTGATCTGTGAAGCTGCTTTGCCACAATTTTTAGCTATTTCTAACCTTGGGAATGACACTACCTCAGAATTAACTGATTCTCTCTGTCTGTCCCCACAGCAATGGCAGGGTTTGGAGAAGCAGCAACATTTCCTTCATTTATAGAGGGAGCTGGTTCCTTGTCACTTTGTGTGCACAGGATACTAAACTGATCCATCTCTGGCACTACAAGAATAATTTCTTCATCAGTTCACTAAATGATTTTTCTTTTCTGTTTTCATTTCTATTATTCTAAGCTTGGAGTATTCCCTAGATCTCTTAATAAAAACATTTCCTATCTCTAAGTCAAGCTTTAACTTCTCTAATTACTCTTTCCCTAACTCATAATTCTGCCGTCCACATTTACATTGGTTTGCAGATTTTTTCATTTTTTTATATATTTCCAATCCAATTTAATTTATGGATCCTGAAAAATCAGAAAATATTTGAACCAATCCTTTTACATGTCCCTGTATCATAGAACTGTTATGGTTATTTTCATAATTATTTGTCTATTAAATGAGACTTTTGGGAGAGAGAGAAAGTACATAATATTTTCAATCCAGTATCCTGAATCAGAATTATTACATTTTAGATTTGATTTTGTGGTATTAGTAGTTTTGTATACATCTTCCATTTTAAGTCATAAGCTTCGGTAGATAGGAGTCTTTTATGTTTCATTTACTTCTCAAAGCTAAGTGTCTAAATTAATCTCCAATGCAAGAAACATCTTCAGTAATTGTGATACAGGATGAATGCACAAACTTGGTACCTCTGCAGAGAGTGTTTCTTTTATTCTGTTAGTAATTTTTGGTGTGGTTTTAGTGTAGGATTAGGAATATAGATCTCTCATTCTAGAATTAGATGTTCCTCAACTTGGTAGAAACGGAGTGCCTCTTTGCGAGAAAAAAGCTCAGGAGTACTGCTGGAGATTAGAAGCGCAGGTTTTCTACTCTTAATCCTCTCTGTATTCTTGGTAGTAGTGATCACTCACAAGGAGTTAAAGAGGGGCCAAAGTAATGTGTGGATGTGAGAGTTGGACTGTAAAGAAAGCTGAGGGCCAAAGAATTGATACTTTTGAACTGTGGTGTTGGAGAAAACTCTTGAGAGTCACTTGAACAGCGAGGAGATCAATCCAGCAAGATAATCAACCCTGAATATTCGTTGGAAGGACTGATGCTGAAGCTGAAGCTCCTGATGGCCACCTGAT